CTTTCCCTGTTCACAGAGAGAGAGAGAGAGAAAGAGAGAGAGAGAGAGATTATCCATCTTAGTTCTTTTGGCTCTACTCTGAAAGACCTTTTTTTCTCACAGTGAAAATTATTGTATATCAGAGAAGAATTTAAAGTTCAAACTATATATATGAGAGAGGGAGAGAGAGAGAATTTATCAATATTATCATGCTTTTCCTTTCTTTTCCAATTACTCCGTTATCCCACTCAATTACGTACATTCCCACGTTCCAAAAGTTTAAACATTAAAAAAAAAAAATTAAAGTTTTAGTTCTGATCGTGATCAGTCAGAAAAAGAAAAATAAACAGAATGAACGGCTGTGATGAACTGGGTTTTTTTTTTCTTCCTTTGTCCTTTTGGCTTCAGTAGTAATATATACTCATGCAGAAAGAAAGCAAGATGAAGAAGAAGAAGAGTACTGAAGCAGATAAAAAGATAGAAACAAAAGTAAGGAAAAGAAAAAATTAGTGGGGGTCCAGTAATATGTATATATATGGATACCTATATAGAGATATTTATAGGGATCTGATATGTGTATATATATATATATATGTGCACATATATACTGTGTGACAGAGCATTTAACAACGACAGTGCAAAAGGGGCAGCGGATCCCATAAAACAACCGCAATAATAGTGTAAAAATTTGGAATTGGGGGGTCCGGAGGCGATATGAAAGTAACTACTCATGAGGCTGCAGCATATACTCTTTAGCAGTTTTAGCTCCACAACAGCCGTAAAGTCTGTGTTTGTTGTTAAAATGCATAATTCAAAATATTCAATGCATATCATGATATATATGTATGTGTCAAAACAAGACAGGCCGGCCTACAATTTACTACAAAACAAACGGTATTAGAGAGAGAGAGAGAGAGAGAGAAATTAAGACAGCGGTGGGGGACTGACTGCAAAAAAAAATTTCTGACCCACCTGGATGGGATTGGATAGGATGGGATGCGATTTGAGATTTGAGATCATGAGATGGGAGATTTTTCATATTTGGGAAACTCTTTATTCCTGAAAAAATGCTATATCTTATGACTGACTTTTCAACTAGTTAAAACTTACTATATATATGACGCGTGTGTGTGTGTAATAATCATATTTAAAAAGTTAATCATTTATTCCAATATTTGAATGGCTATACATATGATCTTCACATGAGTTATATAGGCGGTTCATCAAGCATATAAATTATAGAGGTCAAATCTTTTGTCAAATTTTTATATCTTATCTCTAACATTGAATCATTATTGTACTAATTCATATATATATATATATATACCACAACATCTAAAATCTTAAATTGCTCAACTGGCAATGTTATCACCTAATTTGTCATACTTTCACTTTTGAGACGATACATTTAGCATGAATACAAACGGCTAGAAAGAGATGAATGAGACATCAAAATTTGATAGAATACCTGGTTTGAGAAAAGTGGATTCACATGGTGAATTAATAGTCACATATATATACAAGTGATAATGATGTATATATATACACATATATATAGCTATATATATATAGATAGATAGATAGATAGATACTGCCTGTTGCTCTTCCTCATTCAATGCCGAGTATGCTGAGCAGGCTGGTCACTCATATGCCAAGGAATCAAAACTGCACTCAACATGAGGCAGCCCCACCCCCCCACAACCCCCATCCCCTTAGCTGCTATATATCTGTACTCTTACACATTGCCCTTTTGGTCTCTTATTTCTATCCCCCACATATTTTGTTTGCACTCTAGAGATACCTAGCTATATATATATATATATAGCTCCTCTATAACTTAGCCCACTTTTTTTTTTTTTTAAATTTTCCCATTTGTTTCTTTTTTATCGTTTAGCTTACCTGCATTGCATGCCTTGCCGTCTTCTTTTTAGATTTTGGTTTCTTTCATATTAATTATTTTATGTGACATCATATGTCATGGTTTTATGAGACGGTGAGATATATGGTGTGGACCATATGGCATATTCATATATGGACCATGTGAATCACATATGGCATAGACCGTTCAGAGAGAATGTGAAGCCAAAACCACTATATTAATGCACTAGGTATCAAATGGTTGGTATAATATTATAGTTTGCTATCTTAGTGAGTAGCAACCAAAAGTTTCATTCAAAGGATTGGTTTGCAAGGGAGAAGAGGATTATCTTGTATATATTATAACGCCTATATTATTATATATAAAGATAACAAAAGTGAAATTAGAACCTAATTTTGTTTTATCATTTTCAGTGTATATTAACCCGCCATTGAAGATTTTAATTTCAGTCATAGGGAAGATTATGAATTATTTTTCCATTGAATGGATTTTTCCCGTTCCTATAATCTTCTGACTAGGACATCTCCAACCAATATATATTTTTGAGTTCTTTTGTAGTACTGTTTTTTTTTTTTTAATATAATGGTATAGTTTAAGAATATTTTGATTCTTGTTGCTATATACTCTTCCAATAATTAGCTATAAGTAACAATAGAAATTTTTACCTTGTTGGTAACTACTTATTAGAATATGCTTAGAATATAATATATATATATATATATATATGAATATATATATATATATATGAATATATATGTGAATGGATGGCAGATAGCAAAGAGAAAGGTCCCCCCACTGCGTCCTGACTTGTAACTTTAGTCTTGGTGGCTACATGGGTTGTCCATGTACGTCCAATTGGGTACGCATCTAAGCCTGTGATTCAATTTTTCATGTGGTACCACACCAATAGTAAATAGGGGATAAGGTATGCCCTTATAATTTTCCTTTCAAACACTTCATAAATCTCAGCTTTACGGTTGTTTTATTTTATTTTATTTCAGTTTTCTTTTGGTGCCAGATCTCACCCTGGTTATCATTTAGGACCCGTTTAGTTCGTTGAATCGAGTTTTTAATTTGAGTTGAGATGTGACTCTATGTGAGAGCTTTTTACTGTAGCAAAAAAGTTGAATGTGACTGTTTTTTAGAGTTTTTTACTGTAGTAAAACTCGAATCGGTGAAATGAATGGGACCTTATTATCATAATTCCTTTATACTAGGTAATATACGAGTGTATACTTGGATTGGAGATAACTTTTGTGTATAGAGGAATTTGAATCATATATTTGCATATGCTTATACTATGCTCCTCAAGGAAATGTAATACATATGACAAGAATTGGGCCTGGGGTTTGGGCCTACGAATAAGGCTGTAATTGAAAAACATTGCTTAGCTAGCTAGGTTTGAGTAACTCTTCTTCTATTATTTACTATAGATTTTTGCCACCAAAAATTAACTATGATCCATAAAAGTTTACATATAACCGAAGCAAAAGGAGAACCAAAAAGACCTACAGGAAATAATTATTACACTTTTTAAAAAAAAAATTAGGGAGAAAGGACTCGAACTCTAAACCTCAATATCGAAATGGATCTGGATTTACTGTTAAACTAAGCCTGCAAACAATAATTATTTTCAATTACTAGACTCCAATTACTGATGGAAGTACATTTTCCCTGCCATTTTTTTTTTTTTCTCTTTTTCTTTGAGCACAACTTATGGGTGAAAAAAATGGTAACGGAATCAAATAAGCAAGGAATGAAGTACTTCACAATATTGTGACATAGTTTCGAGTATTGGAAGCACATATTTTAGAGTGGTTCATAATACTTAACAGGCTCCCCTTCTGAAAAACTGTAGGATAATTAAGTTGAAAATAGTAATGAAGACATTATATTATTTCTTTTCTTTCGTTCGTTCTTTCAAAATCATCACTTGGGCAAAATGGACAATATAATACAAAATTGCCCCTTTTTCTCTGTTTAACTTTTACTTGGATTGTAACACGTCAATCTCAAGTTATGGTCTTGCTCATCCTAATATCAATAAAACCAGCCATTTGCACTAACTTGCTTTCAAAGTTATCAACGATAATTTAGGAAAACTGGAAGCTCTGTCCGTGTTCGGATCCGATATTCATTCATATGCAAGTGAAAAGATTTCGGTTCTTTGCTGCGGAAAAAACAAAAACAACAAGAACAAATAAATTCTCTGAAGTTTTAATCCATTTTCTAGCAATGAGGAGCCAAATTTCCGTGCATGGAATAACCAAGTCCCAACACCAAGCATATAAATTCAATTCACCAAATGGATAAAACAAAGATTTAATGCAGATTTCGTTAACCATATACAACATAAGATCACAGTGATAGAATCTCCTTTACTGTATAATTCACGGGACATATAAAAGCAAAAGGCATCAAACTGAGAACATCAGATAATTCGTCTGAAATGACCAAAAACATGAGAGAAGATGCCTCACATAAAACAAAACCTTAAAGCATCATATTCATTTTGCCAGTTTAGAATCTTACAGAACGCTTTGCAGTACCCCATGCCTCCATTTTGATCGACGCTATTATTATACCCTGCGGTAGCTGACCTCCAAACCACTCTTTAAAATGTGTTACTTTCAACTGCTCTACTTGACGAACTTAACTAACACGCAGCGTAGATCGCTGCACCAAAGAAACTCTGATTGTGCAGCTCATATTCAACTGCAACATTGTAGTTAGTCATTCATCCTCTCTCCCAAAAAATTGTCCAAGAGGTTTTTAAATTTCCATGATCCCGAAAAACCTTTTCGCCCGATGAATTAACTGAAAGAGAATATGCTATTGAATGCAGACTTCTTTCACATACGTACTTCATCGTAACTTCTATGTACAGATGACTTCACGTCCTAACATAACGGTATGAACAAGCTGCAGCTTCATTTATAACAACAGCCCATGCCAAATCTCAGGAGAACCATTAAGACTTGTAAAGCTTCCTAGATAGAAAAAGATTACGTAACACCTGTAGAGCAGAGGAAAACATGTCATGTTAAAAATTCAATTAAAAAGAAAAGAGTAAAGATAGGAGGCGACGTAGCTAACCTTATCTTTGCTCAGCTTGACACCCTTCCATCTGTAATTTCATTCGCAAAATGTAGTTCTCATATTTCATGGAGCACAAAGCTCCTTCAGCTTCCAGCCATAAATTTAAGAAAACTTGTGGGTGTATCTCTTCATCAATCCATTGATTTTCTTTCAGAGCATTCCTAAGAACCTGCATTTAGATTGAAAGAACGACGTTCTGTTTTCCACCCTAGGTATCAATTAAGCATAAAGATGATAATCTTGTCTGCGTCATAACTAATTATCTTACCGGAACAATGCTATTGCCCCTCTCAGAACAGCCTACGTCTTTAGGCGAAGGAACAAGATCCTTCATTTTCCTGGTGGCCGCATGAGAATAACTCTTTCGCCAGGCATGGTCACTCCGACTATCAAGCTCCTGACGAACAACCAGATCTTTTGTCCTTGGAATAACTTGGAACTCCATGTTTGATTGCTGAAAGAATCATTCAAGTTCTTAGAATACAGAGAAACCCTTCCCCTTACCCTCCCTCATAATAAGATGACAATGATAAATGAAAATAAATGATACATGTCAATTAGCTCATCTTTAAACACAGGTTTCCCTCACACACACACAGAGAAAATTGAAAAATACCTAGTAAATATAGCATATAAATGAAGAAAAAATCCCTAAAAATGAAAACACTTATGGAGATTTGTTTACAATTAGACTTCAGGTAGTTGGATAATATTTGTTCCTCAAGGATGAATGAACTGCACCAGTGAGTAAAAAAAAAACTAACCAATTAACTAGAAGAATCAAGGAAGTATGTATGTAAACGCTAAAATGTTTTCTACTAGAAATGGATGACAAATTTCCATGTTGCCTTCAAGTCAGACTCAAACAGATATGCACACTTTCCTACCTCATAGGTCGCCGTTGACTTATCACGATAGTCCAGACTGCCTGTATGAAGTAAATCAAGAATTGGAGTCTCTTCTCCAACCCTATGTTTGATAAGCGCATAAAGGTTATTGATTATATGACGAATCATTTCATGTTCGTGCTCATTCAATGAATCTAAATCATTTGAACAGTTTTCAACAAGCAAATCTGACAGACAACGTATTGCATTAACCGTAACGGCGACATTTGTTTTTGGACATTTAGACAGAGACTCGGTTAGACACTGAAGTAGTTCACTACAATCACTGAGAGCACCAACTCCAGAAGACGATAAATGTGGAACGTACTCTGCTGCAAGGGCAGACAGATTTCTTGGATTCTTATTTGCAGCATCCATGATTCCGTCCGCAAAGCCTTCAAAATCCACCCCTTTTACTGACACCTCTTTTGAGGTAAAGAATCCATCGACAAGATAAGGTTTAATCATCTGAGGCGGACTGAGTGCAGAACTACTTTTTGAGTCTTTAAGCATGGCAGATTCTTTTCCAGGTTCATTCACACCATTAGAATATTGATAGCCAACCGCATTGGTCGACCCACGAGTCTCCAATCCAGCTTTATAGGAATCTACAATTGGTGTCTCTTTGTATGATAAATCAAAAGCCGAACATTCACCCTTGCCAAAATATGGAACACCTCCAACAGTATTATTCTGCAAGTAATCTATGCTTCCTTTGGAGTGAGAAGGAAAAAATTGGGGTGCCCGAGGATTCAAACTGGTACCTGCCTCTGATTCATTTCGAATAGAGTGTGTGCTTGAAGACTCTGCAACTATGTTGGGAGATTTAGTAGAATTCTGGATTCCTTTCCAACAGGGTGAATCCAAGTCGGACTCATCCTCATCCAACAATTTGGAAGAACCTTTTGTGGAAATAGCTGCCAAGGTGCCAACACGTTCCATGACTGAACCATCAAAAATATCATTAATAGCAAATCGCACTTCAGATTTGGCTATTACTACAGGATCCAAAGCCTTACAAGGGACAGATTTGGCATTCTTTATTTCCATGCCTTCGTCCCCTAGGCCTTTATCTTGGTGACCCTCGTTGCTGTAAGCATTCGGCAGGCCATGAATATCTCTATTTCCTGATATAATCCTACCAGAAGAACTCTTATTATTGCTGGCTACAGAATTGCCTGGAAGATCCACATTCTTCGGCAAAATGCAACTAGATGTTGTGAAATCTGTGCCATTGGCCGATGATCCAAGCATGGGGTCTGAAAATTTAGTGATTTTAAAACAGTCTTTGTAAGAATGACAGTGGTGTGGTGAAGCTGCTTAAAAATAATATATACATATATATATATATACATATACACACTATATACATACATATATATATACACACACACACGTGCACAAAGATAGATACAACAAGCTTACCTTGAGGGATATTTTGGAGCATTGACAAAGATAGCACATCTGATGCTGTTGAAACCTTATAAAGAGTTAGCTAAGAATCTACCGTAGAAAAAGAGAAACATTTAGCATCTCCTCTCCGTATATCCAAAAATGAACTGATTATCCTCTTCTAACTTCTAAGATGAAACTATTGTGTTCCAATGTAAAATTTCAAGATTTTAGGGACAAGGTTTCGAGTTTTTAGAGACAAGATTTACAGGGGCAAACAGAAAGGCATGTTTTTTATGAACGCTAAAAGCACTTATGATAAACATAACATAATTAACATACACTATGATATATTGTACAACAAAATAAGAATTCAGGAACGCCAAAGTTGAGTTTTTAGGTTCAAGAAGTTACCTTGTTTAAGCAAGCCTTCACCAGCCAAAGATCCCACTTTGCTCGAGCCAACAAAGTATTTCCCATCCGCCGTCCTTCCCCCGCCCCCATAACTTGAGCATTGGGTGTAAGTGGACACAGAGGACTTATTAAAGGCCAAAGGATCAAACTTAGTCTCATCAGGCACAGGTGAAGAATCAAAAAATCCATGGAATTCCCCTAATGGGTACTGCGAAAATGAAGACTCGGCACCCAACTCGGAGGGATCATCAAAAGGGAAGGCCGGGCTTGATGCCAAAATAACAGAATCAGATTGATGGGCAGAATAAGAAGGATAAGTTGGGGCTGACACAGGCAAAATTTGATCACTCAAAGTGAGATTAGAAAGTGAATTGGGCAAAAGGGAATCATCAAATGGGTCAAGATGGTTGCTTGGACAAGGGGTAAAAGGTTTGTGGTTTAAGCTGGTCAACGAATTCAAGGCAGAAGGTTGACCAACAAGAGAACGGTTCACGGTAAATGGCTGAGCTAAAGGTGACAAACAAGAAGCCCATGATGGTGAAGAAGTTAACCCTTTTTTCAGATAACCCTCTTCTTCCATTCTCACAAATGTACTTTCTTTCTCTCTCTAACTTTCTCTCTCTAAGAACGCAAGCTGACAAAAATCTGATCAAAACCCACCAACAAAAACACCAAACCAAACAAATGCTCAAATAAGTTGCCAAAACAGAAATTCAAAAGCATGTGTCTTGAGAACTTTTAGCGTTTGATATGTCGTTCAAAATGATGAAATATTGTGAGTTATTTTGAGAAGAATTCAGAGCTTACCAAGAAGCCGAGAAGAGCAGAAGAAGATGTTCCTTCAATGGGTTTGATCGGTTGGGAAAAATAATAAGAATATATTGGAAGGTTCTGTTCTTCTTCTTCGTAACCCTCTCCTCTTCTCTTACTTTCTCTTGCTTTCCCAGAGGACTATTTCTTCACCTAATGTTTGCTTTGAATTTAGCTAAAAACCAAATAGTTTTTTTTTTTTTTTTTGAAGGAATATGTAATTTTTTTAATACCAATTTCATCTGTTGAAATTCGGAGATATATTTTACTTTTCGTATTTATTATGTTGTTATTTATTATTATTATGCTGGAATGAAATAGAGGACCTCGGTTTTCTTTTCTTTTTTATATTTTGTGTTTTTATTAAAAATAAAAACTTTTTTAACTAAGTTTGCTCTTCAGATAAAAAGTTATTCTTTAATCATTGAATTAGCTTTTCAACCATCTAATTTGTGAGTGTGATTAAAAATTTATAGTCCACAATACATAATTATTTATATATTATTAAAAAATTAATCTAAAAATTAAAACAACAAATCTTACTTATAAAGTAATAACAATTCCTATCAAAAGAGTTTCTTTTTTCTCAAAAGCATTAAACGTTTTCATAAATTTTTGGAAAACATATACTTTAGTAGTCCATACATAGACTAAAATATGTATTTTGAATGGAAAAGAAAACGAAAGAGAATTTTGCGCGAGTAGATGTTGAATTTTGAATATTTTGTGTAGAATCAATTTAGTTAGTTCACTTGTGCAGAGTGATAAATTATTAAATTAGCAACAATTGTATATTCTCTGTGATATTAAGATTTATATTTTCAGCTACAGCATTCTAAAAAAGAAAAAAAAAAAGAGTAGATCAACGATAATAACAACAATTAACATTTAGAACTAAGGTAACGTTTGGTTCAACAATCTGAACTATAGTGATTTGAACCTTTTTTTTTTTGTTTAAATTATAGATTTTGAATTGTGATGATTTGAACTGTAATTCAAACGGGTATTTAAATATACAAATAAATTATAATTTAAATTGAAAATAAAACTCAAATTGTGTTTGAATAGAGCGTTGAAAACTGTCATTAGAATTTTTTTTAAAAATATTTTAAAACGTCATTGTAAATGACACATTTAAATATGAAATATATATGAGAATTTATTTCTCTTTTCATTATAAACACATATAAAAATATCTCAATTCAATTAAGTTATGACATAAGACAAAAAGCAATTGCGTTTGAATTTAGGAGTAGTGAATTCTAAAATCAACTCATGAATTGTAAACTGTAGGTAATGATTTAAATGGCTGTTCTTTATTTTTAGACAAAACACTAATTTAAATTTTTAAACACAATTGGAATTGAATTGTTTTGCTCAATAATTTGAACCAAATATTACTAAGGTCTTGTTTGTTTTACGAATTCGAGTTTACAATTTGAATTAAGATATAAAATTATAACATAAAAAATTAAATATGATATTTTTAAAAAAATTTTAATTATAAAAATTTAAAATTTAAAATTTAAATACAAAAATTTTTAAACACTCATTATGAACTTATATAACGCTAAAAACTCATTTCTCACTTTTGGGAGATAAGAGTAGATATATGTACTTTTATATTCCTTGAGGATCTAATCAAAGGCTAGAGGTTTACAGCAAAAAGGCAAAAGTGAAAAGAATATATATATTTTTTTTTTTTTCTTTTATCACGAACATAAGAGATAAGATTAAAAAATGAAAGCTTGTACGAACAACTTTGCCTTCTTAAGGAAGGAAACTACTTTAAAAAGAAGTGAGAGAAAGAGAGTTGGCGAAGAAACCGTGCTTTTTTCTTAAAGAAAGGAGTAAGGTATAAATTAAGAGCAACTTTATTTATGTGAACGGGTTTAAATCTTGACACTCATATAAAATGAATCTTATTAGGTAGATAAATGGGATTTAATCTAATAAAATTCACAAAGTGAGATTCAATCTAATAAAATTCACCACTTTGTGAATGTGAAATTTTGACCCGATAGGGATTACCAATTTTGATAAACTAAAACTTAGGAATGTCCAAAAACAAAAATAAAAATAAAATAAAATAAAAAAAACTCAGGAATCAGGAAAGTCTACCCGGTGTGCGACCACAAGGTTTGAACTACCATAAACTTCCAAGTTCCAAGGGATTTTCTGGTCTTTTCTCTAAGGTTTCCAAAGATCAATCCTCTTTCAATATTCGCCTTTTATGTTCAAAGATCATTCCTCTACTATCATTTTTATTATCTGTACTTGACGTCTTTTTTGTTTCAAGGGAAACAAAAGAAGGATTATGACGCATTTAGAATTTATTTTAAAATAATTTTATTTTTTATATGAAAATGAAAATGAAAACGTTTTCAATCTCAAACAGAAATCATTTTTAAAAATGTGTTTGGTAGTTTTATCAAGAGATTATTTTCAGTGTAAAAAAACTCATTAATGTCTCTCTTTTTCTCTTTCTCTGCTCAAGAGATGAGAAAATGAAAACAAAAAATGAAAAACGACTAAAAATTATTTTTTATTTCTCTCTCATTTTACACTAAACTAAAAAATCATTTTTATTTCCCTTTTTTTCTTTATTGCGTCAAACGCCGTTTTAAAAATGTTTTCATTTTTTCTTTCTCGAAAAACAGGATCAATTCCAAGCACGGCCTTAATGTCTTCATTACTTATTGAGTTAATCTCACAAATTATTTTTGAGGTTTAGCTTCAATCTCACATTAGTTCTTGATTTTTTAAATGTCGTACATTTGGTCTCTGAAGTTTTATTTTATTTCAATTTCAGTATTTCTGTTAGTTTAGTGTTAAATATTTGACATAATCTATAAAAATTATAAACTAAATTGAAAACATATAAAGTTTAGAGACTAAAACAATATAAAAATTAATAGTTAATTTCCACGATCTAAAATTTTCGTTGTTTCTAATTTTGGAGTCTAATTTACACAGATTATATCAAAATTTAACGTCTAATTGATGAATAGACCGAAACTGACATAAAATAAACCTTCAAAGACTATCTGTGTAACATTTAAAGAGTCAATGACTAAAGTGTGATTGAATGTAAACCTCAGAAATCATCTGTGAAATTAATCCTTTCTCATTTGAAGGGAGGTGTATTAAATTTGTTTTATTTAGTATTTTAGTTTATAAATTAGTTGATCATATTTTGATTTTTGTTGTTAATGATGAAATTACGACAGTTATACTTATGGTGTTTGTAAATAAACCAAATCTTTGTTTTTTTTTTTTTCCCTTAAGCATTCTATTTTCTGATTTCATTTCGACTCGATGCTTGCTTTTATGTTTGATCTATTTTGGTTTTTCATACTAAAAGGTTTTGTAGGCAGGCATGCAGAGCAAATCAAGCGAAACACCTCCGAAGGTGGACACAGAATGCCGCTGGAGACAAGTCTTTGTCTTTGACCTGCGATTTTTGACGTTCTTTAATATGATGGGAATTTGTTTTCTAAGGAGAAGACTCCAAAACTTGAGTTTTGGGCTTTTTTGGGTTACCAAAGATAAGAGAAAAGATTATTAGGCTACAATCTCCATCATCCATCCATCATTAACCCAATTATCCAAAGTGGAATTTAAAATTAAATTGGACTAACGATAAGTAAGCCTATGAAAAGTGAGATAAATATCATTTAATTTTTATTCTTTATTAATAACTATATTAATAAAAAATAAGAGATAAAAATTTAAATTTACTTAATTTTAAACGTAAATTCTATAATTTTCTCTACACTGGCAGCGCACCCACTGCGCTATTTGATTGCTGGTGGTCCACCAAATTACAAACCATGAGAGTTCATTCGCGTCATAGGACAGAACATTGAGCTTGGGCCATAGGAAAAGGCCATGTAATGGGATGTTTTCAGTGAAAACTGCTTATCTTTTGGAATTGGGAGAGCAAGATCAGTGCAGGCAGCAATATCTGGAGAGATATGTGGAAGGAAATATTCATCGCAGGCACAAAATCCCATGGTGGTTGATCTCTGTGGAAGCCGCTGTTATAAATGTGGTTGCTCGTCGCGTGGGGAGTTCGGAAGCTAGGTCCTCTCTGCGGTGAGGAGGAAGAATCTTTGAACCCGATAACATTTTCAAAATAATTTTATTTTCAGTATAAAAATAAAATGAGATTATTTTAAAAATTATTTTGAGACCGTTTTAATATTGTGTTTGGTTGATTTTTTAAAAAATTATTTTGAGTAAAATAAAAAAATAAAATCGTATTTGATTATAATTATTAATTAATATATTATAACTTTATTAATAAGTATTAAAAAATAAAAATAAAAAAAAATAATTTTAAATTGTTTTTTAATTTATTCACAAATACGTTTTTTATTTTCTTTTTTGTTTTTAAAATATTTGTTAAACAAACACCACTTACAAGTCATTTTTATTTTGGTGTCCCAAAAGACATACAGAAATATTTTCAAAAACAATCTGAAACTAATTCTAAACGCATCATTTTTAACTTGCATTTTTCTGTTTTTCAGGTTAGTGCGACCGGTTTGGTTCATGTCCATCTGGAGCTTGCTGCCAGAACTACTGGGAGTCTCCAGAGCATGCTCGAATTTTTGGAGTTGGGAATTCATGGCACTGCACAGTTCGTCAAAGACCGTAACTTCCTCTTCTTCTCTTCTAGTGCTATTGAGGCAATCTGGCGAGTGAGGAATTAAGGCATCCATAGCGGAAGGGCCTTCAACGTGATTAAGGCTTTCAATGAAGCAAAGACCCAATACAAAGAGTACCAGTATTTTCTAAACGCATCAGAAACAGAGGCAAAACGAGTGGCTGGTTCAAAGGTAGCTCCGATGTGGCCGTGAGGAAAGAAATCTCGTTTATAGCCACAGTGATCAGGGACCATGACGAGAACAACATCATCAATGTAACTATATCGGAAGCTCGGTTTGTGGATCCTCTGGTGGTGGAAGCGCAGGCGCTCCGCCAAGTGTGTGAAAGTGATTTTGTTCAGTTAGGAGATATTTATTTTCTGTACTCATCTCTAATTTTAAATTATAATTCATAATTTTTTATAGTATTTTTTTACACATAAAATAAAAATAATTTTGAATCATGAATTTAAATTTATGAACCAAACGTCTACTTAAAAACAGCGCTTAAAGGACCTGCGGGTAGCCATCCGTGGAAAATCTCTCTTTATTGACTGACATCCAACGACTGGTATACTCCTTCATCTCTTGTAACTTCCTTACATGGCTCATAATGTTGCAGCTTGGTCAAAACACTCACAGACTACTGGTAGTATAGATGTCGGCAAGCTCCCACCATCAGTCATGTCCAACACTGCAGCTTGGAGTCCTTAATTTCTTGTTGCTTTTCTTCTTTTTACATTTATGTGTTCAATAGTTGTTTCTCCGCTTGTTTAGCTACTCCTTGCGTTCTGGGTCTTGGTTAGGTCCTGTCTCTTCGACGCCCTGTGTAGGTTAGTTTTTGTCCTCCTTCTTAGTTTTTATAGGTCCAATTCATTTCACCGATTTAAATTTAGAAATCGAGTTTTTTACAGTTTAAAAGCTGTTAAAAACAGTTATATTTAATTTTTTTATTACAGTAAAAAATTATCATATAAAGTCACATTTTAACTCAAATCAGCGAACTAAACGGATCCGTAATTTGTCTAGTGCGTTTGTGCCTTCTTTGGCCCTGTTTTCCCTGTGTGAATGAATATCACGTTTTAGCCACACAAAAATAAAAAAATAAAAAATAAAAAATCAAGAAAGCATTTTTTCAGCAAAAGAAAACAAAATGAAGAAAGCATCTGAACACGTTGGCTATGAAGAAAAAATCTCAGTTTATGACCAAGAAGTCTAACAAAAACAACGATTGTTACCGTCTGTCACGGTGAAACCTGCAAATGATATGTACAAGCATTTAGTATTAAGTCGTTCAATCTGACCATAGACAAGCTAGCAACGTTGTAACCAGTAGTCACTGTATTAATGCAAAGGGAAAATGAGATAAATAACACTTAGAGTGCTTGAATCTATATTTTTATTTTTTACTTTTAAATAATAACGTATTTAATTAAATAATTAAATTAATTAAATAATATTAATTAAGAGTAAAAGGTAAAAATAAATTTTCTTTTTTAGCCAAAAAAAAAAAAAAAAAAAAGTTCAGCAATTCTTTCTAAAGAGGGCAAGGCATAGAAAGCCCATGGACTTGCTCTTATATCCATTATGGGGAGTCCATAAGAATCATACGACTTGCTACCATGTACTCTGCTGCGATTAAATTAAGCAATATCCCTGGTATTTATTTATTTATTTTTTTCTGGTGAATTCATCTGTTTCATTAAGGTACTTATTATGTAATTATGATAATGATTCGGTGTTTATATATTCTGTCACTTAATTAAGGTAGTCTTTATGATATCATCATTGATGATTATATGATGATTGGCGGTTTAAATATTTCTGTTTATGCATTGCTAGTTCGATACAAGAATGGTGTGATAGCACTTTCTTGAAGAACAAGTACCAGGGTTCACTAATGTTGGTCATCTCTACTAAGTACTATGGATGGGACTAACCATGTATTCCCATTTAAAAAAATCAACCATGCGTAACATAAAATATGGTTAACATTATCAGTTCCTTTTTTAACGGAAAATATCCAAACTACCAAGCATATTTGTGGCTATCATCGTATATGTGCTGTCAGATAACAACAACACAGATCGCAACAAAGATCAGATGGTCGAACAGAATATGTATCAAATCAAAATCCGACACTGCTGAAAACAACACGACTTGCATGCAAAAAAGTACTGTTCCATTGAATATATTCCCTGATTGCGTACAAATCAGCATGCGCACGATTTATTTTATATATATATATATATGTGGAAAGACCATATAACATTAACAATAATCAACGTTATTTAAAGCCAAAGTACGTAGACATAGAAATTATAGTAACATATACATATATATATGGCGATGACACACACACCATTTTATATATATTTACACGCATATATATATATATATATGATTAATTTACATGAGACAACAGGCGTTGACGTTGTCATCATTGAACATGTTGCTGACTTTGTCGTCTCCCCTTTGAGTCACTGGGATGGTCCCATGCTTTTCCCCAACATTGTAGCCATGCCTGTAGTAGTTGTAGCTTTCCTTGAACTCATTTGTTGTGTCTTTGAAATAGTCATTGGTCGACGTGAAGTACAGCGGCGGGTTAGGGTACGGCCAGAACTCCGCCCGTTTCCCGGCCCTCCTCACCGCCTTTAGCACCTTGTTCCGGTCGACGTAACCGATCGCCGTCACCCTCTCCAGCTCTAAGTCTACTTCCACTGAATCAATCCCTGACGAAGTGATCAAACATATGTATATTATATATAAGGAAAATACATAAGTGAATAAAAAAAAAATATTATAGGGCACTACTAGTGCTATTTTAACATTGCAAGTTGTTTCATAACATATGATTTTGAATTAAAACAATATTAGTGCTACTAAATAAGATATTAAAATTTACATATATAACATAAAGAAAATTAATATCAAATGTGAGTAACTTTTTTTTTTTAACCTCTAAGTTTATGAATGGCGCTTTTGACTACACGTTCACAACCAGTGCAGCACATCCTGACTTTGAGATCCACAGTCTGCAAAATGATAAAGAAATTATTTGGAACGATTTTTTAACAACGGTTTTCACATATTTCAAGAAATAAAAAATAAAAATGAAATGACGTTTGTTTAGTAAATGTTTTAAAAACAAAAATGAAAATGAAAACAGTGAGAATAGTTTTTGTGAAGGAATTAGAAAACAGTTAAAAGTTATTTTCACTTTTTTGTTTTCATTTATTAATACTTATCAACAATATTATAATATATTAATTAATAAACACTATTTCACTTTTTTATTATACTCAAAATAATCTCTTAAAAAACCAACTAAACGCAATTTCAGAATCGGTCTCAGAATGATTTTCAAAACAATCTCATTTTTACTTTTTAATGAAAATAAAACATTTTAAAACTAATTCTAAATGCACCCTATATACTCGGAATTCACACGGTTAATCTGTTGATAGAAAAGATAAATTAATTAAATCTCTATTTAGTGATTCTATCTTTTGTTATCTTTCTGCTTATTCCTTTTTCTTTTTTCTTTTTTTTTTTATCCTTTTGTTCTTTTAAAGAACCTTTATGCTTTCTGCAGTTATGGGAAAACTCAAAAAGGGGATTAAGAAAAGGCATATGCTGAATCAACGTAGGTTAATTAAGCTTAATTATTTGTCACATATAAATATAGATTCTTATATTCTCCCACGAGGATATAAGAGTTTCTTCCAATTACTTCCACTACTATTTTGTGTTTCTAGAAACCTTGTTTCAATAGAAGGTATAATAAATATCATGCATGCCAAAATGGAGATTCTCAGTGGCAACTATTATAATTATCTAGTATCGGTTTAGGCCTCGTTCACTTCGCGGATTCGAGTTTTTAATTTGATAGGCTAAAAAACATGTGTCTTTAATATTAGTAGTTGTTTAAAAGATTGCGAGTTGATATACAATAAATGATGTTAGAATTGGTGTCTTTAACACTACTCTTCTTATATATCAACCTATATGGTTGAGTATTGAATAGGTTTCTTTGTCAAGCATATATGTATATCTCTCGGTAAGTTGTTTCCTATTTGGATAGGAAAGCTTTCTATGCCTTTCATTAAAAAGAAAAAGAAAAAGAAAAAAGAAAAGAAAGCTTTTCTTCAAAGGATAAAACAAATGAAGTTTTTTTCTTGTTCATTATGTGAGTTTGGACCATATATTGAGGTTCTTCCACAACTCAGGGTAAAATATAGTAATCAATATTTCCAGATTATAACCAAAAAACACATACCTAGGAGGAGATTATAATAATTTGTTTAATTTTTTTTTTTTTACTTTTCCCTTATATATACTTGAGCAGAGAATAAAATAACTCATCAAATTAATATGACACTACCGAACATTTAAGGTGTTCCAGAGAGAGAGAGACAGAGAGAAGCATGCATGCAAGCCAAGTTGAAGAGAGTCTTAAACAAAAAAAAAAAAAAGAAGAAGAAGAAGAAGATGATAGATAGATAGATAGATAGATAGATAGATAGAGAAAAACATGACCATGAAGACCCTTTTTTGTCCCAAACTAAAATATAGATACCTAGAACTAATCAAAGATATATATATATATATATATTTATATGATAAGAAATTTATAAGGATGATGAAAGCGAACCTGCAAAGAAAGAGGACGACCCTTCTTGGGCATTTTGTGTTTGATGTTGTGGTGGTCGTTGTGGTGGTGGTACTGGTAGTTGTGGTAATAGACGCTTTTGGGGTGCGTATCTCGATAGCGAAAGAAATAGGCAATTGAAGATATAATTGAACCAAAAGCTCTCTCTATCACCGTGGCCATAACCATAACTTGTACCCAACTATTTATACTTCAAAACTAGCAAATTAACAAGCTAGCAAGAAAAGAAAGATCACAATAAGAGGAAAACTTAAACACAAAGTTATCTAATATCTATCTATCTAAACAACCAAGCCTTTCAGAAGGAAGATATTCCCTGTGGAATATATCAAAGGCATCTCTTATATATTCCCTGATATATTCCAAAACTTTGCCTTAGCCAAAACAAAAATCCCCAGGTAAGCAGTTTTCTTATAATTCAGTGGATTTTGCCTGAATTATTATGTATTTTAGACTATTTATATATATATATATATATATATTATATGTTATACCCTTTGGAAAGGGAATGGTATCAAAACATATTCACATGATCGATGCATGCTTTAACATTATGCTTTGAAGCGTGGATTAAGCTAAATGGTTGCTGACAATCTGAAGGGAATATTAGCTTCAGGAGGGTTTGGGTTTGGATTGGAAGGGCTTAAGGAAGGAAAAGGAAAAAAAAAAAAAAGCTGGGTTTTGATGCAAAGGAGAACATATATTCTGAAAAATCTTCCTTTTTCTCTAAACTATCTTGGAAAATCACGACACACAATAGGTACTACATATATCTATATGTGTAGCTAGAGAGGCTACTATATATACCAAAGTTTTATTCTCATGTTGCTATTAATTAGGCTTGTCTTGATGATTTTGGTCATTCTTTATCCCAGGCATTAAGAAAAGGGAATCTTTGGTTTCCATATACTGATTATAATATTTAATTAAAGAATTTGTGAGAAATAAACTATGTGATAATAAAGGAAATGTGCCGTTGTGCACCATCATTTCGAGCCACTAAGTGATAAACCAATTCATGGGGTCAATGTCCTCCCAACAGTCAAAGGATATTGAGCAGAAAATCTTAATTGTATATTTCATTCAAAAACATAATGAATGAATTCGGCGCATCTCTTGTCTTCTCTTTTTTGCTGTCTATCATTCTTTGTCTCGCTGATAAATTATTAAGGAATTCTAGATAATCTAATTTAATTATAAGTATAGTTAGCAACTTAATTAGCATAATCAAAGTTAGAAAATTAAGGTACGGTTTTAAGATTTACCTAACATGACATTCCCTATAAGAAGAAACTTGGATTCAATTAACATATTGTTGTTGTACGTACTAATGATTTGAGAGCAAAGGTACATGCAGAAATTACTGCCCAATTATTTGCCGGATGTTGAAAACCCCGATATTGCTTGCAATGTACACAAAAATAGAAGTTTCTAGAGAAGAAATTTGAGTTTCTAAACTTAAAATGAATTGACCTGTAGTATGTCCATCTACTAGAGTCAGATAGTTAATATCCCACCATACTAATTTTTACTACGAAAAAAAAGAGTGTATGTAATCATATTTGAACTTTACACCTTAATTATGGTTAAATTAAGTGTGAACTTATTGATAAGTTATGTTTATAACGTACACAATCCAACAATAATTGAGAGTATGGACTATAGAGAAAATAGAAACTTCTAAAAATGATTACCAATTGTATTAGTGTTTCTTTAACCTCAAATCATATAAGAATCACATGCTACCGATTGTAACTTTTTGGCACCTTACAATTAAATTTCAATTATTGTGGAAAGACATTGAAAAAGCAATAATTTCATTTTTGTTTATTGTCAACACCACTAAGACACCAAAGTCACACAACCCCTAATTGGAGGAAGCGATAAGATTTTATAATTTGAACCCATAGGTATCATCATTCTCATTACTTTTAGGATAATTGAATAAAATATAAAAGACAAACAAATATAAATAAAATTTTGAGTAAATTATAATACTTATTAAAGTTATTTGCTTTTCAATAATGTATATCCTCAGAACTGGTGGCTTCTAAAGCATCCTTCTCCTCATGGAAATTATTCTCTTCAGAGTTCAGATGTAAGGAAGATCATCATATATGCTTCGATTGTGTCTTCTGCCTTTTTTTTTTGTTAATTAATTTTACAATTAATTAATCTGATAATTTCTCTGCAATTGTAGCATTTATATATTTTGTCTGTCTATATGATATCAGGTGAAATGCTTAGAATCTGTGTGTTTTGCTTTCGTTTAGGAGAAAACTAAACATTTGTCCTTTTCTTCACATAAAAAATTAACTTTCATAGACGAACAGCATCAAATTAAAACAAGTAAAGAACGAATCATTTTTTTTAATAAAAGAATAATCTAGCGATACCTTGCACTTAAAAATAAAATTAAACATATTAATTACGGTAATATTTCTTTTTTCTATACTTGTTTTTTTTCTTTTTGCCTCCCTTTTATTTGTAAGTTCCTTAAAAATTAGAGGAGAGGCCTATCTTAAAAGTTAATAGTGCAGGTTTGATAGTTAAAATATAACATCGCCAAGCAACCTATACGTCCTTGCCACCATCTGGGCCATTTTGGTTTTGGAATAAGCTTGGGATTCTAGAAGTACATTTCACCCACTTCCTCTTTGCATCTGTTATTTGATTAAATAAAAAAGAAGCATAAATATATGCATTTCCTAATTAAATTGATTTCTCCAACTCTTAATTCATAACCCCTACACATTGCATGGTGTGTGTGTGTGTGTGTGTGTATATATATATATATGTATGTATATATGCATTATACAACCATGGACTTGGGATAAAAATATTACATGTGAAATATAGAAGATGCAGGTTAAACTGCTTCTAGACCCTTTAGAGATTTTGTCCTTGATTTTTCAAGCTTACATAGTAAACACTCAGATAGAGAATATTGTAACCATGTAATTTTTTTTCTTCAACAAAAAAGTTTTTCTTCGCTGATCAATCCATATAGATTAAAAGTTTTTCTAACAGTCCCATTAGTCACTTCAAATTGCTCCTCCACACACTTGAAAGGTTCCTCAACGAATATTTTTTTGTTTTTCTTTTGAAGTGTTCAAAGCCCATCAATTCGATATGTATATATTACACTATTAACTGGAAAAAATTTTAAGAGTACCAAAAAATTAGGAGAATAACCCCATTAAGTCAACAAAAGATGAAAAAATAAAATAAAAAAATTCAAAAAAGTTGCCTTTCGTTTAAAAGGATTGGACTTGACTCACTTTCAAAATTAAGTGAGGCCTCCTCAAAACATTCTTTGTGCTAGTGAATGAATGTATGAGGAGCCCACTTGGCAATTCCTATAGTGGACAATGACTCGGAAAGTACCAGAAATGTGTTGTACTTTGAAAACTAGAGATTCTTCGCCGAACACTTGAGCGGCTTGTGGGCCTGGCACAGGGCCCGTCAATGAAGATATCACTTTTATTTTTTTATTTTATTATTACATAGTTTATGCATAATTTATAAGTTATAGTATTTAAAGTAGCATCATATTTTATGCAAAAAAATGTTTTACCATTTTGTTTGTCTTAAAAAAACAACAAAAAAAGAAAAAAAGTTGTTTCAGTTATAACTAAACCACAAACTCTAGAATCCGAAACCAATTGCACAATAAGTTAACCAATTTCAGTGTCTCAATTGCCGACCAACGGTGTTGGTTTTATACCCAAAAACTCGTGTTAGTGTCGTTGAATTATGTCAGGTCTTGTAAGTCGTTAATTTTCCTAAACATCTTAAGGAGACCTTTGTATAAAGAAAGAAACTTGGTTTGTTATTTATAATTTCAAAGCACCATTCGGATAGAGACTTCGTAAATCATTAAGGGTGTGTTTGGTTGGATGGAAAGAAAAAGAATAAAATGGAATGAAATTCACGTATAATATTTGATTAGATTTATAGAAATTGAATGGTTATTTAAAAGAAATGACCATTCATCCATTTTAGGCATTCCTTCCTCACATAAAAAAAATAGTCATTCCAAACTCTTTTTTTTTTTTTTCATAATTACCCTTAAATATTATAATATAATTACAAATATTATATAGTAATTTTATCTTATAATATGTAACATAATATAATATATAATAAAAATATTATGATATAATATAATATAATTTATAATATAGTTATAAATTATTATATACTTATTTAATATTTTATAATAATATATTATAATGTAATTATATCTTATAATATAATATATAATAATATTACAATATGATATATACAATAAAATATAATAATACAATAATATGATATAATATAATATAATTGTAATATTGTAATAAATAATATCATGATTATATTAATAATTTTAATATTACTATTTTATAATATAATATAATATGATATTATTATTATATTATATTATATTATATTAATGGCATATTATATAAATAATACTAATTAATATAATTTTATAATTCCAATATTATTATTATTATTATCTATTATAGTGTATTACACACGTTATGATTAAATAATGTATTAATTATAATATATTTATTTAATATAATATAATATTAATTATATATTATATTGTAATTATATATCATATTATAGTATAATATAATATAGTTGTAACTTTTAATTATATTATAACTTTTCTTGTTTATTATATAATCTTATAATATGTTATAATTATATTATCCATTTTAATAATATTATTATATTTTATATCATAATTATACAATATATTATATAATAATAATTTTATTATATTGTGTTACATTTTATATATTATATTAATTATATTGGTATATAAAATATTAGTGTTATATGTAACATAAGAGTAATTTTGTCAATATAAAAATATTCATATTTCGTTTATAGTATTTATAAAATTACAACTAAATAAATGAAATTATCATTCCCTCGCTGCTACCAAACACACCCTAAAAATGAGAAATTCTTGTGGTTTACTTGCTTTTCATTGATTTTGTTTTTCCATTTCGCTTTTTTTTTTTCTTTTACGCTTTTCTATCTATGACAAGTAAAGTACAGAGTGAGCGTATTTGGTTTCCTATGTCATGACCTAAACAAAATAGACACAATCCATGTTCGAGAACTCTTATTAGTCAAGGATGAGTGAGGGCCAAATAATCCAAAAAAAATTATTCTTTTACTTAGAGGTTGTTTGGAAGTTATATTCAAACTCAAATCATGATTTTGTTACAGTCTTTTTTATC